GGCTGCGCGGGGCCGCCGGGGGACGACTCGGCGGTTTCGTCGCTCGAGTCGATGACGATGGGGGCCGCGGGGTCGCTGCCGAGGGACGGGCCTTGGTGGCCCTTGGCGTTGCGCTGGTTGTAGCGGGTGTCGCTGAACCACTTCTTGATCTCGCCTTTGGTCAGGCCGGTGATCTTCATGAGCCGCGTGATCTCCGCGTCGGGCGGGAACTGGCTCTGCAGGTAGCTCACTTTGAGTTCGGCCAGCTGCTCCTTGGTCTTCTTGGCCCGGATGCCGAGCGAGTCGGGGTTCGCGGGGTTCGGGGGCGTGCTCTCGGGCTTGACCAGCTGAGAGGCGGGCCCTGCCGCTGCCGTGACCGTGGTGACCGTGGCCGTGGCCGCTGCCGGGGGCTTCGCCTCCGCCACCGGCTGCGCGGCGGCGGGGACCTGGCTCTTCTGGACGCTGGTTTGGTTTGGAACTCCGGCCACGGTCAAGGCGATGGGCGCCGAGACCGGCAGCGGGTTGGCCCCGGCCACCTGCGTGAGGACCAGGCCCGGCTGGCCCACGATCTGGCACGTCTGCAGGATGGATGGGAGGCCGTTGCTGGCGGGGGAGATGTGGGTGGGGATGACCGTGATGGTCTGGGGGACACTGTGCAGCGCCCCGTTGAACTGTTTCCTGCGCGCCTCCTCCACTTCCTCCGGAGTCCAGCTCACCCCGTGTTTGAGACGCTGGGCCGAGAACCAGATCTTGATCTGCTCCTCTGTGTATTTTGCTTGGGCAGAAAGAACGGCAATTTCTGACACTGTGGGGTAAGGGAATTTGTTGTAGGTGTTGAGCAGAAGGGGGTTGTTATCCAGGGCCGTGTTGTAGCTTGGAATGCTGTTAACCGGGATTAAGACTTTGGGAATCAAGTTGGAGTTCTGCTGAGCCGACATGGCCGTTATCACCTGCGCCAACCCAGGCAGCACTGCCGCAGGGCTGACCACTGTGTGGGCAGGAGTGGGGTGGATCCTGTTGACCACCGAAGAGCTGGGACTGGAATCAGAGGCTGAAGAACTTGGATTTTCCACAGCGTCTTCCCGGTCTGGTTTGATGTCATTCTCTTTCTCTTCCGGCGCCTCCTCAGCTGAGTTGTGATGAACCGTGATCCTTTTGTTCTCCACTTTGTTCTTCATCATTTTCATGATGGGGGTTTTACTGATGGATATTCCCGAAGAAGGCGCGTCTGCAGATTCCGCTTGCTCGGAGTTCTCCTCTTTAACAAAACTACCATCGAAAGTCAGATCGTTTACTGTTTGTTCAAAGATTGTCTGGTTGTTGCGTTTCACCATAGTCAACTTAAAGTTCTCCTCGCCCGGGTGATATTTGAGATTATGCTCAGAAAGTGCATCATACCTTTTGGTAAGAAAATTGCATTCGACGCAAACATAGGATGAATTTAGCACGACGGTGGGATGCTCTGAATCCACGTGAAAAGTAAACATATTGAGATCTGGAGTTTGAAAAGTACAGTATTTACATTCATAGCCACCTTCCACCTTTTTGGGTTGATTGTCGGAATCCACGGACCCGTGGATCTCTTCATCACTTGAGATGCTCTCTGTTTTGGTGTTCTCGACAGGTGTCAGTACAGGAGGACCCTCGTCCAAATCTGATATCAGCTCCAGGTCTGGATCCTGGTCACTGGAGAGGACCATGCAGGGTGTGGTTGACTTCCGCCTGCTTGCCATCCTGATGGAGTGGGAGAAGATGTCAGCGGTGGTTAAAAAGCATGGAGGCTTGAAACTGCCCAGGAGTTTTCATTTGAAAACAATGGCCTTCGGTCCTTCAAGTTCATTTTTGTGCTCAATGAGTCTCATTAGCAGTTCTTTCATGGTGCAATCAGGAAAGCCTGTTGCTGGTGGGTAAGATACTGCCAAACTGCTGAAATTGCTGAAGTGAAACTCCACTCACCTACAGGAAAAGAAATTTTAATAAGTGTTTTTAAACGAGTGAATATGATTCTTTTCAACAAGTTACAGTTCCATTCTACTTATAGAAAGCTGCTAGAGAGCTCAATTACCTAAATCTAGAATAAGACAAGAACCAGGGAAAAAACTTAAAAAGATTTAAATGGCTGTCGCTGAGCTGACTCCCTGAAGGTCATGGACAGTCCCTGTGGGTCAGCCCCAGGCTTGTTTGTTTGGATCTTTCAGCAGTTATATATTAGAAAAGGGAGAAAAGTACTGGCCATTGACAAACACATGATTATCAATGTGAAATGGCAACCTGATAAGAGAGAAGAATGGAGAACTCTAGAAAGCAGTGACAGGCCCAAACTGTGAGCACCAACGTGTCCGAACTTCAATCTATCACACGCCTTCTCCTCCTCCTAATCTAGCTCATGGGCCCCAAATGCATGCTCCAGGATGGTGAAAACAGCACAGATGGCTTCTAAGGACCAAAATTACAGAAACATTCCCCTTAACCATTCTTTGCCTAATGATATCAGAGTGTATAAAGCTCATCTAATCATATCATTCTCCTTACTTCAGGTTTATGATGAGTCATCAGTACTGAGAGAACAGTCTGTAGGCACACAGCATTCCCTTTACGACCTGGCTCTACCCTTATGCGCCTGCTGTCTCCTGCCTCCTATTTCCTCATGCTGGAAGCAGACTACAAGTGATTGCTGTGCTAAGGGCACATACCACATTTCAGACTGTACCAAAGCATTCTTCCATTTGTACTTGATGAACTCTGCCTGCCTTATAGATGGCCTTCCTGTTTAATCTGACCCTACCCCATCCTTTATTTCTTTTGTAACACTTGCCACATTATAGTACAGAAATGTTAACATTTCTGACCCTCCCTATCCCAAGCATCCAAGGGAGCTGTGGTGGCCTGACAGGAGTTGAACTGCCAGTTCAAAGGCAGGTGTTTCAAATCCACTGACTGTGTCAATCTGCTTCTGTACAAGGACATTACAGTTTATGAGAACCCCGTGGGGAAAGATGGCCAATCTCCTCTTCTGTGAGGAGGTCACAGCCTCTGAAAACCTGATGGAGGGTCAGCTATACATCAGTTACAACTAGACAGCATATAACTTCCCTATCCCATGTCCAAGATCTCCCAATTACAAGTTTTGTGTCCCCCTCATTCCTTCTTTTTTGAGGGGTTGCTATAACAAAGCTACCCAAACTCCAACCTTAGGCTTTGAGATGTTCAATCTAATATTCTTCCAACTGAATGATTCTGGCTGATACCTCATTCATCTTTATATCCTCTTTGCATATGAGAAGGAAACCTGGTGGCACAGAGTGTGATGCAGTGTGTGCCACACAGGACTACTAACCAGAAGTCAGTGGTTGGAATCCACCCACCGCGCCACAGGAGGAAGACGGGTAGGCTCCTCTGGTAAAGACTTACAGTCTTGGAAACCTAGTGGAGGGCTGCTGAGTCAGAACCAACTTATCAGCAGTGAGGAGCAGTAGGATTATAAACAAGAGGAGTTCCAGTATTGTGGTGCATTACTTCTTGTGCTGCTAACCCAAATCCACTGGGTTTGAACTCAAAAAGGGAAGAAGGAATTTTAGGAAACAAATGTCCAGAACGAGAATGCCCTGCGTTTGAGGGTGGTCCGTTCCTCCTCACTAGAATTCTTCAAGGACCAATGACACAGCTATTTGATAGGTTCAAGCGGCAGATGAAAAGCAGACCCTCCCTGTTCTCTTAGCTCCCATATGATAGTGATACTTGTGGGCGCCGGAACTCGACAGGACCGCCTGTTGGTCCAGGCCTTGCAGGGCTCAGTCTCACCACTTTTCTATCACTCTCTACAAATGGAAAATATTTGGGCTTTCCTTACGTGACAAGCTGTCACCTCATATACCATTTCTGGCATCTGCTCCTTACCTGACAAGCTTCCACCTCATAGACCATTTCTGGCATCTGCTGTGTAATAACAACAGTCTTAGTGGTCCAGATACCCTACTCTCAAATGGGGTCATGCTTTTTTCTAGAAAATTTGTTTGATTTCTAAGAGATTATAAAGAGAACCAAGAACATGTTTTAACTAAATGAATAAAATGTGCCAGTAACAATTCTCTTAATCAACTGAATAGAAACTAGCACTGCTGTTTGAAATGTCAACAGAGCTGATCATTATTTGCCATTGTTGTTGCTGTGGTAGACCACCAAGTTGGAATCAAGCCATAGCCGAACCTCTGGCAGGTTTTCAGAGGCAGATTGCACAGGAGGAGATTGCCCATCTTTCTCTTGCAGAGCATGTGGTGGCCTTGAACTGCGTGCCTTCGGGATTGCAGCACAGCCTTCAAATCTTCACATAGTTTTAATAAGCCACTCCTGCACGCTGAACAGAGAAAAGAATTCTTGAAAGGCAAGATGTGAACTACGTTTTAACTGTTACTCTCCTACAGTCTGACAGAGACTGTTTACTCAGGGTATATCAATAACTCAGCCAACCAGTTCTCAGAGACTGCCAGGTTTAGTATAGATTACATCTCAACATAAAGCAACAAAAGTTCTCACTCCTGGCTCAATAAATGACATCATGATAAAGAGAGAGAAGACTGAAGTTGTCAAGGATCTCATTTTCCTTGGATCCACAATCAACATGTACATGGAAGCAACAGTCAGGAAATCAAACAACATATTACAATGGGCAGATGTGCTGCAAAAAATTTCTTGGAAGTGTTGAACTTTCACTTGGAGAACTAAGGTGTGCCTGGCCCACATCGTGGTGTTTTCAATTGTTACAAATGCATGTGAGAGTTCTATGAGGAATAAGGGAGATGAAAGAACTGCTGCCTCTGAACTGTGGTGTGGGTGGAGAATACTGAGTATACCAGGGACCAGCAAAGGAACAAACAGGTCCATCTCTGAGGATGTAGAGCCAGAGTTCCTTAGAGGCAAGGACGGTGAGATTCTGTGTGACATATTTAAGGCATGTCATCAGAAGGGGCCTGATGAGTGACATCATGCTTGGGAAAGTCGAGAGTGGGCGAAAAGTGAAAGACTCAATAAGCTGGAGCGAGACAGTGATGGCAGCGATGGGTTGAAGCACAGCAGGGCCGTGAGGAGGTATAGGATCAGGCAGGATTTTGTTCTGTTTTGCACAGAGTCATTAAGAGTGGAAGCCGACTCCACAGCACACAACAACAGCATGTCATAGATAAGGACTTTTTTCCCTTGAAAATATCTTTTCCTTAAAATGATTGTTTTTAAACATTTTTGTTGTAAGCTGTAAGACTCCTCCAAAAACACTCTAAGAGAAGTACCACCACAAAACAAACAAAACAGCTGACTATTTGGAGGTGCCTAACAGGAGCTCTGGTGGCTTAGTGGTAAGGAGATGCACTACCAACCCAAAGGCAAGTGGTTCAAATCCACGAGTTGTTCCACAGAGGAAAGTTGGGCAATCTCCTCCCATATGATTGACTGTCTTAAAACCTGCTGGAGGGTCAGCTATGAGTAGGTTCCGCTTTGATGGTACACAGTAACAACAACAACAGAAGCTCAATGGATGCTGGTGGCCAGAGTCTGTAGGGAGTTATCTGTTAACCCCAAGGTGGCACCTCTCCGGCAGTCAGAACCTACCAGCTGTCTGTGGGATTTACAGCCTCCGAAAACCCACTTTTATAAGAGTCTGAGAGACCAACCCTTCCATATCCCACCCCACCTGCCAGCATCCCTAGCTCTACCTGTCAGAAGTTCCAAGATGGGTTTGAAAGCCTTTATGTTAAAAATTTAAACACTTTCAAGACACTAAAAAACTTTCCATTTCATCACAAACCCTTCTCAGTTGCCACTGCTGAGCCATGAAATGTGAAAATCTAATCTCGAGTCAGCCGCAGTGTAGGAGGCAGGCCTGGGGCATCAGGGACCGAGCAGGGTAGCCGGCTGTAATGAAAGTCACAGGAGATAAGCCTGAGGAGCAAAGGGCCCTTCAGTATCCTGGCTCCATAGCTCATGGGTTAAATGTCTTATTTGAAAATCTTATATGTAATAAAAATAGGAATATACTACCACATTATTTTATTTATCTTCCTACTTGCTCACTTAGAGCCGTCAATAAGAATCCAAACAGAGAAACTTGAAAAGCCTAAATCATTTTTGCTAAAGCCATAAAAATAAAATATGTTTATATTATAATCTAGTGCTGTATACCCAAAGTTGTGGCTTAGTATGGGTCTTGACAGTAAAATGATTATATAAATGAGCTTCTTAAAGAGAGACTTTTAAAAAAATTCTTACTTCAGCAACAGAAAAGATATTCTTGATTGCTTTAGTTTCTGGTCATATTTTATACCGTCACCTAGCCCTGAGATATACTCTTCCCTCTTTGTTATTAAAATGGTTTGCTGAACACAGCCTAACCTCAGGTTCTTTAGGATTTCTCTCCCAAAATCAGAGTCAACCTATCATTCAATACAGTTCTGAAGGGAGGTGCCCTGATGGCACAGTAGTCAAAGCACTAAGATGCTAGCCACAAGGTTAGCAGTTTGAACCCATCAACTGCTTCTTCGGGAAAAGATACAGCTATGGACACCTATAAATAACAGCTCTGTAAACCACCAGGGGCAGGTCTACTCTGTGTACAAGGTCACTACAAGTCAGAATCAAGTCTATGCAGTGGGGTCGTTGAGTTTTCTAAAAGAATACTGAAGATTTCTAAATAGCCCCAAGCCCAGCAGTTCAGTTCTGTTAAGATTAGCACAGACTAAAGCCA